AGTCAATTACCAAAATTTGGATGATTTTGAATATTCACTTGAAAAGTTATCAAAGAAAAACATTTTTCATTTTGTAACTACGAGGGCCCGTAACTTGGTTACGAAGACTTTTAGGAAAAAAAGTTATATGAAGTACTGGTGATATTTTGACCCCATCTATATACATTCCCGAGAGGAAAAGAGGAAGTTCAGGGACACCCTGTATATTCCAAGAATATTCAATGAATATTTGGAATATATACGTTCGTTTTATGACATAGAGGGAATATTCCATGAATATCTGGTTCTGTGTGGTTATAGCGGCCGCCGTGATGATTTAACTAGTCTTTTCACAAGCACAAGATCTTCTAATTGAATTTTCAGATATGCAGCTTGCTTCCGTTACCCTCCATGTTGGCTTTACCATACCGTTATGTAGAATGTATGAAACATCCAAACTTAATTCACACCCAAGACCCGTAAACAGGTAGCCTCAACTGCTTCTGAGATGATTTGAGGATTTCCATAGTGATCTATAGGCAAAACTATAGGTGTGCAGATGTGTTTGGGATCCATTTCGCTACCAAGTTTGACACAGGTAATTTCGGTAGTTTCTTTATAAAAACATGATTTTCTAAGCATACTTGCATAAGGACTACACTATATCGATGTGTGCTTAGTAACCCTCAAATGTTTCATGTATTTGCTTTAGGATTCATGGACAAAGCACGTAATCACTAACACGGTTTTCTGGCTCATTAAATAAAGTCTTGTGTTCATTGTAATGATGAGTAAGTATCTTTTACATTGTTTTCATTGATCAGCTATCATCCCTGTACGAACAGCAATTATCTAAAGTCGAAACTTTTCCGAGATGAAAATCACAGGGTCTGATATGGAAGTTCAGATAATTTGCCGATTTGTTCTATGCCGATTGGTTGAGCACTATAGGAATTACTTGTGAAATGATTTTAGGTATATCATTTGAGAATAACTGTCTCGTTTACTATTTGAAATCAAGAATGAATTCATAACAAAATATTCGGCCTCAGAAATCTTTTTCATAAATATTATGGAAAAGTTATGATTTCAACTGTAGAATTTTCTATATATTTTCACAAATCTGGTTTGAAAAATTAATGAAATCATATACTTGATAAAATGAAAACTACTCACCCCTAATATTTACTTGCATGAATAATTTCTCTTTTTAACTCCGTTGCGTATGATATATTTGGAACACTTTTCAGCTTTTATTATATCAGAATTAAAAACACCTGTACTCTTTTGACTGATAACTAGTCCGAAGATCATCAGTACAATCAGTATGATTTTCAAATCCATCTTTAACAAAGTGAATTCCTTAATATTAATATCAATAATGGTATGCGGTTAACTGATGTTTGTTATGTTGAATTATTATATTGAATCAAATTTCAGCGTCAGACAGAGTGCTGGTCGATAAGAGAGCATTGAAATCTTCCAATCATTTACTACAATTGAAAAACAAATATCTCCATTGATTTGGTTGTTCTTTCTATTATTTTAATTATGTTGAAAAACTTCATAACGAAATTTGGGAGACCTGATACCGTGAATAAAAGCATTGAATTGTTTGGATTCGTTTTTCGGTAAAATCTTTTCATTGCTATTCAAGATGATTATTGATTCGATCCGGCTTCGCGCGGGTAGCAGAACATACAGTGTGTCTCACTTCTCATGGAAACACCTCCGTATCTTCCGTTATATTCGAGGTGGAACGTTGAAACTCTTAGGACTGATGAAAATGCTCAAAATGCACCTACCACCTGGATGAAGTTGGCCAAAGTGATATACACTGTCCGCCACTAGCGATGGAACACCCCATTTTCACGGTAAAACATATTAGGAGGCAGAATAGGCTCAAAATTCCTTTAGATTCGTGATCAGGACTACCAACTTACTACGATTACACTTTTTTCCTGAAAAAAATTCAGTCTTGAAAAATCAGAATTTGTCTCACTTCTTATGAAAACACCCCCGTATCTTCCATAATATTTGATGTGAAACGATGAAACTCTCAGGACTGATGGAAATGCTCAAAATGCAACTACCACCTGAAACCTGAATGGGGTTGGCTAAAGTGATATACACTGTCCGCCACTCGCGATGGAACACCCCATTTTTACTGTAAAACATATTAGCGGGCAAAATAGGCTCAAAATTCCCTCAGATTCGTGATCAGGACTACCAACTTACTACGATTACCTTTTTTTCCTGAAAAAATTTCAGTCCTGAAAAATCCGAATTTGTTTCACTTCTCATGGAAACACCCCCGTATCTTCCGTAATGATTGAAGTAGATTTTTTTTTGGTTTTGACATCAAAACATGAACGAAATTTTTTAAGAGAAATTCGACTTTTGTTTTCACATAAATAATTTATTTTTTATTTTGTTGTCAGGAAAGTTATTCCTTCTCAATAAGAAAGAAAATGGTAATTTTGTAAGAGGAACGGAAACATGTAATCAGTGAGGTAAAAATTCCTGTCATTGAGATAATTTCCCTGCTTCCATAAACAATACTCCATACGGCGGAGTTCATCTCCTTCGTGCAAAGTATGTGAAAATTTGGGTTTGAACGCATGCATTTTATGCCTCTTTGAACACCTCCATATTTTACTGCGGCTCATATTGAGTTGAAGCGATAAGTTTCTCAAACTAATTCTAGGATCAGCTTGATGAGCCGCCAATATCGTATCATCATCAATGTTTTACAATTTGTCTGTCCTTTGTTACTTGGCTGGTGCTCACGAATAGATTATATATTTTATGTACAGTTCCAGGGTGTACAGCTACCTCTAGCGGGTGTCTTCTATTAAATTCAGCGGCCGCTTCACGATAAG